CACTTTTGCTGCCCTTGAACAAGCCTTAAAAGTATACAGAACACTGCACTGACATACAGCTGTATACAAATGAATGGGATACCAGTACTTGATATTTGAGAACCAGCACTGAGGCCAAAAACCTAGGCTCCAAGTCTCTGGGGCCAGCGCACTATTTGGACCACTTCACATACATGTACCATGTATGGGGGTATGGCTTACCAAAATGATTTAGGTTAATTGAAATGCAGGTGGATTATTCCATGGGAAGGGATTTTTACCCTCAATCCCCTCAAAGGAGTGAATGACAGATGCTTTCAACCCAATTGTGCCCAAATTTTCCAAACGAAAGTTGTGGAAGTTTGTAGAGGTATTTTTATTATCAGGGAGAAGCACTCACTGTTGTCTGGAGACTTGTGAAAAAAAAAATGACCACTATACTCGATGGGACAAGACCCAGGATCTGCTGCTAATGAGAACCGACCTTTCCCCTTGTGGACGATTCAAAATTGTTGGGGGAAAAATAGAGTAAAAGTTGGTACAATCTGATCTCAGATTTGAGCGACTAAATGGTCATCCCAAAATTACTTGTCTAACTCCTGAATTAATTTGGGAATATTAACGAGGCCAATGCCATGAAACATATTCATCAATAACAGTACATGTGTACATATACATGTATATGTAAGTTCTTACTTCTAGAATCAGCATTAAGGAAAAAAAGTGGCAGGATACCGCAATGTGACTTCAAGGAAGTAGTGGAGTGAGTTGACTTAGCTATTTATAGACTTCTTATTGTCTTGATGAATTGTGCACGGTACATGTACATGAACGTGTAGTCATGCCACAAGATGTCATCATTCCCGTTATGTCCTGCATAGATTGGCCCACTTTGATTCTTAAGGGCAGCTACAGTAGATTAAAATATGTCGTGTCAACTTCTGCATTTATACATATACAAGTATATTCTCCGTTTTTATATTCGTGTTTTCCACAAGTCATGCAAATTTCTCAATTTCCAGGGCATCATTTCGAAAATGATTGTCCACTGCAGACAATAAAGTCAGTCACATGAAATGGATCAAGCCGCACATATACAGACATGTACTGTACAAATCTTGGACAAATAAGGAATCAGTTCAAAAACTAAACTAAAATCTGCTAAAAAGTTAACATCCCCAAAGCTTTTACTCTTGACTGCATTTCCATTTCTACCGATCCAAGACAATCCCTAAACATTCAGCCCACTCCATCTTTTCCAAAGCAAAGCCATTGTATCACAGACAAAAAATCCTTAGTCCCCCTAACATTACCTAAGGCGATTAGCCGATGGTTGGATGATCTTGAAAAGCGTCTATCAACCCCCCCACTTCCCCATTCCCTCTCCATGTGACTGACTTTATTGTCCGCAGTGGACAATCATTTTCTGTATGTTTGGACAATCACTACTCAGAGGAGTATAGTTAACCACAGATTTGCATGCAATGGTGTGGTGGGGGGTTAGGTAGGGGTCATTCACAGGCACAGTAACACAGGCTAATCACATGTTGAAGCACATGATGTTGGTCTAATCTAAAGGGCCCAGGCTTGTGGTTTACAAACCCCACAGATTTGGCGGGAAACATTTTGGGAGTGTGAGAACACAAAACCTGCTCTCAGGCTGATGCATACATGTTTAGGCAACTGGACTAGACAAAAGGATAAATTGTCCTGGCAACCAAAGGAAGCCATTGTTAAGTGTCTGGGTAGGTACGTGTACATTTACATGTACACATGCTGAGGTTAACAGAAAAATGGTAGAGGACAACAGGGCAGCAAACTTGAAAAGAAAATCTTGTACGTGTAACCAATCAAATCACAGGTTGCCAAGATCCCTAATGTTATTGCTGTGAATGTCAAACAATTAGACATAACTGTACCCATGAATGCAGCAGCCAGAAAACTTTCTTTTCCTGATTTGCAAACCACCTGAAATGATTGCAAGTACTTCCTTGCGCAAGTTGTAAACTAGAACGCTGCCTAACCTTGGTGAAATCTATCACAACCTGTTCTACAATGCATGTGACACACACACAAAAAAAGCAATACCAGTGACGTTCTCGGTCTCGCCACTGTACAAAGTTCGGTGAAATCCACTGCATCCTACATCTACCTGGGTCATGGGAATCAATTCATCACCTGAACAATTGGATCACAGGGGCATTCCACTGACGGATTTCAACACATGACAGAGGCATGTAGGGCACTATATATATTTTTTTTTTCTCACAGCTGTTCTGCGGTCATGTGCAGACATGCCCTCGTGAAAGACGGTAACCATACTTTTGTTACCGAGTCAAATTACACTTCAACTTTACAGTTACATGCATGGCCGTGCTTGAACGATAATTCGTGGAGGTGTATGGATGACTCTGGCTAGCAGTTCAAGCAACTTTGAAGGAGTGCACTCTGGACAACGAAGGATGAACTTGTCAAGTATTCAAAACCATACCTGCTGAGACGGGTCATGTCCTAGGTTATCAGTAGTTATGCACATCAAAAAACAGGGGTGTGAGCGGCCACTTTAAATTGAAGCTAAAAACAGCTAGCCAAAAGTTGAAATGTAAAAAGTTCCTATACTTCATCAGGTGTACAAAAAAGCTGAAATTCAGATTCAACATCTCAATTAAAAAAGCTCAAATCAGCTAAAAAGCTGAATTCTCACACCCCTGATAAATGTAGAGCAGGGACCTGAGGGCTGCCACAATCATATAGGGTATAAAAGTCCTCCTACAATGCAATTTTTTTCCCTTTTTTCTCACATTTTTACTTGGCGAAGACAGCTCAAATGTCGTTCACAAGTGTCTTGTATCCCAATAATTCCATAAATGCTGAGTTGAAATTAGCAAATACACCCGCGGACAACGTATTTTGCAGGAAATTTGTGAAACTTCATGCTTTCCGTCGCGATCTCTGAACAATCTACGTTCGTCTAGAATGCGTATATGCACATGCGCGAAATGCATAGTAACCGACTGTCCCTTATATGCGGAAGAGCTGTGGGCGTGAAGAAGTCGCAGATAAGGCCATGTCCGAAACAAGCTTCCAAAGCTACAGCTTTGTCTGTTGTCTGCGCTTCTCCATGCATTTCCAATGAAGCAAAGACCTAGACCTAGCTCTGGACAACATAACTGATAGAATGTGGGCTGAGCTTTGAGGCCATTTCGCTGTGCAAATGCATTCTACTAGACGAACGTAGGTCATTAACGAATCGCAACGGAAAGCATGGAGTTTTGCAAGATTTCCTGCAAAAGATGTTGTCCACGGGCATATCTAGTAATTTAAACACACTATTTAAGAAATTTGGGATACAAGGCACTTGTGAATGACATTTGAGCTGTCATGTGAGATAAAAACATTTGAGGAAAAGTTCGCATTGTACATGTAGGAGGACTTTTATACCCTGGACGTTGATCACAATGCAATATAGACGACGTCCAACCTGGGCTACAGGTATGTACATGTATGCCTTAGGCATGGTGCCAAGATGGAATCTGTTGCTTCTTTGCCAGTGAGGGCGCTTCATATGGGGAGGCAAGTGCAACTCTCGCACTAGTGAAATCAAATTTGGACCAGGAGGAATGCTGGGATACAAAGGAGGAAGAAATGCTATCCTCTTCCGACAACAGCACCAACTTAGCAGTGGCACAGAGAGTCTGCTTGTCTTGCACAGATCTGGTTCTTGATCAGTGATCCCAAAGTTGGTTTGCTTTATCCATTATGCAGGCTCTGATATCAGTCAACCAATGTAAAATAACTGATCCCAATCCAGGGCCCTTTGCCAATACTCGACTCGGGCTCGGTCTCAAGCTTCGTTCCCAAAACCAATCCCCGACTGTGGGCCTGAAGCGTTTAAATTACATTGGATTACTGTAATTTCTGGCTTTTTGCATCTTATTTGATGTTCTATGGCACTATTAGACTGATTACTGTGCTTACAGTTTCAAAGTCAGCTAGTTAGAAAACAGGTGAAGCCTGAGACGGAGCTGAAGTTGAGTATTGGAAAACAGCCCTGATCTGCATGAAACAAACATGCCCAGAAGAACATGGATCGACACTTGAACATGTCGTGCTACTCAGTAGCTTGGACCCACGCACACTCCCTACATGCTTGCACATGATGAGATCGCACCTGCTCCTGCACAAGCAGTCCAAACCAGTGTATTCTTACGGGCATGGAGCTATTAATAACATGTTTAATAGCTCCATGGTATGGGTGACCCAACGGGACCTTGCTGGTATGAACAAAGTGCTGAGCAAGTGCCCCTCTTATGCGCTTCACGAGAACAGTCCGTCATTCATAGTCGTCAGTGTTGCAGTCGAGACCTCTTAATATCACCACAAGACCATCACAATGCTTCCAGTCTGAGTTCAAGTCACAAGCTATCCAAAGAACTGCGACAAAAGCATTCGTTTGTCACTGTTTACACGGTTACTTGTGACTGGTCTGCGATTGGTCTTGCGATGGTGTCGACTTTAACACTGACATTCACGCAAGGAATACCAGTAAACCGAGACGAGCCAATGCCAGAGTAGTATGGGCGTAATAAGATTGAAATGGAACTAGCTTGAAATACCGTTACGTGCAATGGCTCCGTATCCGGCACTGAGCCCCAAATTCACAAGGTTCCAAAACTAGTAGTAATAACGTGCACGCACCAGATCTTGATGTCCTGAAATTCAATCTCAAATCAGCAATAACAATTGGAGTTTTAGTTTGGTGTAGTGGATGGCACTGCCAAAGGTCAAATTCTCAGAAGCAACTATCTTCTCCACTTTTGTAAGAGGGAATGGTTTACATTTCAGTTGAATTTCAGTTTTCGGGACAATCTGAGCTTTTGATGTCTTGTTTTCAAGTGTACGTACATGCAAGTCTGAGACAGAAAGAAAACAGATGCACGCGAGGTGGTTCTGGAACCTCACAAAATCTGGAACCGTGACCGGATACGGAGCCTCTATTTGATAGAGAGACATGTACATACGTCTTCCGTTGACCCTCCTGCGACTGGCCACGGCGAGAGGGTTGACTGGCAAGTACGGGGAGCCCTCGCTCTTCCGCCAGGAGGCGGACGAGTCTCGCGACAGCATGCCTGAACCGGTGCCTCCAAGGCCTTGCTGAACCATGGGCGAAACCAACACTTATGTTGACCTCCTCTCAGAAGAAAAAAATCCACGACAAGAATCCCCTAATAAATCAAATCCCAACGCTTCCTGCCGTGAGCCCGTTGTTGTCTCAGCTTCGATTTCCCTCTTTTTGCTTCACAGGGTTGATATCCACAAACTAATGGAAAGATGCACCTAACAGAAATAATGCTGTTGTAACAGAAGCCCAAGCTTAACGTGGTCAGGGTTCAGCATTTTTGGAGCAACGAGGTACATATAACGTTGGCCAAAAGTTTGTCCTACCGGCTGAAGTCAGAGGCGGTGTTGCAGTTAAAGCTGCTGTCATCTTTCTTTTTGCAGCAGGAGAGGGTTTAAGATCCTTACCGCGGTTGCTTTAATCCGTGGGCGCATTCCGCTTGCGCTGAGATCAACTCCAGAGTTATGGCCCTTACGGGCAAAGCTGAAGATTGCACCAGCAGATTCCCAAGGGAAGATTCTATGACCGATTTACAAACTGGGTTTGAAAACGAACCAAGCCAGGATTTTCAACAGCAAGTTGGGCGCACCTGTCCGCAAATCACACGATTCCCATTTCATCGTGATGGTTAACACTCAAAAAAAGCACAGTTCTGCTGAACAACCTCACAGCTCATCAGATATTGTAAAATTCCAAAGACTGGCGAGGCTAGAGAGAAGTACAGGAGAAAATCATGTCTGACAATTGGAACAGGAAATCAGTTTTCTGAACTCTTAACAGTATCCAGGGATTTCTACACCCATACTACATATACACTTGTCCGCAATATTGAATATGTCATATAAGTCAAAGGCTCGATACATACACTGTACACAAACCGACGCTAAAATGTGGAGTCACGTTGCCAGTCTGTTTCTGTTGACAAACGAGGGCAAACAATGCACCTCGCTCCCGTTGACATTCACCGCCAGAGTTCACAAACGAGCCGGCGCTTCCAAAAAAGGTGAGCCTGAACTCCTCCAACTGACAGGGGAAGAATTTGACGAAGAGCGAGAGAGAATGACGACAACCAGGGGGATGATCCAGACAAGCTGTGCTGGCACACCATTCATATGTCAAGCCTCGCAGGGCCTGCAAACCAGCAGGACTATGTCAAATATTTCCTGTTTGAATTCAATATCTCCTCCAGGCTTCAACAGACAGGGATGGCTACGATGTCATTGCCGTTGAATCACCTTTTTTTCACCCTTTCTTTTGAAAAGGATGTACGCCTTTCGCTGAACCAATGGTCCATCGCTGCCGTCACAACATGCCGGAGATTTAGCTTAATGTGCCCTTAGCACTGTACATGTACACAGCCGGCTTTTCCACTCCTACATGTACCTGTATATCCAGTGCGTGATACACAGACGGTTAATTTTCTCAAAAGCACAGGCTGCCTGATTCAGCTCAGCAAACAGCTAGATCTGCATACGCCCACCAGGCCAGCCGACAGTGCGTAAGAGAATCCCCTTGATTGGCCAGACACAATACCTGTGGGATTACAGTTGCCACCGCCAGCCACCAATCGAATGCCAGGTCAGGGAGGGGTGAGGCATTGACTGCTTGGCCACTCAGCTGGCAATCATCTGTGGGTAGAATTTGGGCTGTACCATTCACCCAGACAGGGTGAGTCATAGTGACTGAAGTCCTGGGGGAGGGGGACACACATCAGTGGGTTATGATGTCTACGCCTTGTGTGGTGGCTGCTTTATCTGCCTCCCCATTAAAATATCCCAACAGTAATATGCAAATAAACAACGCATACCAGCTTACTCATTATTCTGTCATCATTAACGAGAATGGTTAGTTCCATTTCCATATTTTTAGAAACTTGTATACATATAAATTACTTTCTACTAACAGGTAATTATCCAAGAGGCATTTTTGTAATTATTCGATTAAGACTGGGGTTTTCATAAGCTATTTACCGAGTCTAAACAAAGGTTCGTGAAGATATTTGTACATTTCTATATGCTGCAGCAGAACTAAAAACTACATGTAAGTTCTTGTGTCCATCTTCATGCTCTGATCACAGAACAATTCTGTGTCCAGTAACTTGCTTTACAATGAACAGTCGACATCTTCTTTTGCTTTACTTTGTTTTCAAAATTTTGTAAAATATTGTTTCCAAATTGATAATAAAATGGTCAATATCAAAGTCTTTGAGTCTTTTGTACAACATATAGTGGGAAGATGGTCCCTGTCACCAGTGGCTACTGTCGCTGAAGGCCCAACGGAAACTCACAAACTTGATTACAATCACGAGGAACTGAGGAGGAGAGACGTGGACAATTTGGTTTTTTTTTCACTATACCGGCATATAGAACAGAACGCTGCCAAAATACTCCTTTCATAACATCTGCCTTGAGTCTCTGCTGAACTTAGCCAGCTGGGACTATCCTTAGTGTTAAGACAACACGTGTATCATTCCAGAGTATATGCCAGACGATAACACTTAAAAGGGTCAGCATGGAAGGGGGGGGGCTTTACTAAGTAGCACTGTAACTCTGTAATCGCTATGTAAACATTATCTCCCATTGGTATGAGATAAGATGGAGTGAGCATATATTCTATTGTGTTCCAATGACTAAAGGAACATGACAGACAAATTCATATAGATGTGGTTAACTACTAACACTACTGTTTGCTAACATGTATTTTAAATAATTATGGGGAGGAAAAAATCAAATAAAGATTGTAATAAAGATGAAAATAAAATTCCGTTTTGAAAAAAAAATCCATGTAACTGGTAGGTTTCCAGTCAAAATCTGTGAGTAAACAGTGTTTCTTTAAAAATCGGATTTGGTTGATGTTTTAAACCAGATTTTTATAAAACAAACAAAAGCAAAAACTAAACCCACCAAAACAAAACATACGATTTCTTACCCGCCCTAACTGTTCAATATTGTCTGAGCGTTATGTACCTGTATCTTCACAACTACCAAACCTCACAAAAAAGATGCATGTATTTCAGTTTTTGTGAACTGGTGAAAGTGGGCAGAATCTCAAACTTGGTATAATTTGTGAACACTCATGTACCAATATACAAACTGTAACTGAAAGTGACTATATGAAAACCAAGCAGAAAAAAAGAACTAGTACATGTAAAGTAAAACTCATCAAATAAAAAAAAAATCAGCTAACACAAGTGTACAGTGATACAGTACACAGATGTTTGACAGAATGTACTCCAAAAACCCACTGCGATGTGAATGCATAATTCCGTGTTTTGCAACACTGGATGATAATATCGGCCCGTCCTTGAACTTGGTTAGCTAAACGAAGAAGACTCTGTTCGGCTTTTTGCACCAAAACAACGGCTGTTGTTGCTGCCTGTGTAGCTGTTGCGCTCGCTGACACAAGCAGTGCTGTCATGCGCGTGAACAAGTTGACAGGGAAATCAATAAGCGTGCACTGCGTCTTTGATGTGCACTGCCATTTTATGTTTTTGTTTTGTTTGATCGTGTTGTTTGCGACAAAGCGCGTACATGTACCTGGGGAGGGCCTCTTTTCCCGACAAGCCAGTGAACAATTTCATTTCCATAAAAACTGCACAGCAAAGTTCACAAGCAACATGTACAAAGCGTTCTAGTATCACTCTGACAGCCAAAATAAGGTTAACTGCACGGTAATGTGGGAGATTTTGAAAGCTGTAAATCATTGACTTTCATTTCACAGCCTTGATTCGGTTAAATTTGTCCCAATGCCAAATTAACACCTGAAAGCACAACTAGGGGTGTGTGTGGCTACTTCAAATTAAAGCTAAAAATCAGCTACATGCAGCAAAAAGCCAAAATGTAAAAGGTTCCCATACTTTTGTACAGACCAGGTGTACAAAAAAAGCTGAATTCTCACACCTTTGATAACTTTAAAATCAGAATTCCTTTGTCCAACCAACATCAAATTTGAAACCGTTTCAAATGCACACTGGGTTCACTCAGTGTCAACGGTTCATTAAACTATTTTTTTATAGAGCAGCAAACAACGGGTGCTCCGAAACTGAATGAACCCTTATTGACTTGGTTTGTCCCACATTCATTTGATTATCTACTCATGGTACACAAGGCCTATATTTTTTTTCAGGTTAAACTTTGCACAGTAATACACTTGACTGCCCGATATTGACCCATTAAAAATTTTTTAAAAGAAGAGATTTTCTGGGACGCTCCAAAGTCTTTCAATTGGAGGATGCAATGTAGTAAAAAAAGAAGAAAAAAGGAAAGAAACCTGCTTTTTTGGCTTACAACCTTTGTACCCTTAGCGAGTACAACACTGGTAGTTTGAAGTTGACTGAAAAATTTACAAGGGAAAAAAAAACACACAACTACCAGAAAATGTCAATTTTTAGCAGGAAATGCGCTCAAGCCTGCAACATTTATAGAATGCTACAACTGTTTGGGGGAGGGGACTAAATTACAAACCACTAAAGTCAATCAAAACGGTTCCACAAGGTGGTAAAGTGTGAGGACTGACGGAAAAACAAAATGGAGAAATGAACAATTTATGTGTTTCAGTCATTTTCGCATACATGTACGTGTACATGTAGTCATAAAAACAGTAACCCCCAGCAAAAGTGAAAGGCAATAATTGTAAGTGGATTTTCAAGTTGAACACTGACAATGAATTTGCAATTCGCAAGAGTCAAGCTGTATTGAATGTTCATATAAATATACCTGTATTCCCATGTTGTTATGTAAATGTAAAGAAATTCGTCTCAAAACATGGCTGTATGTAGCTAATGCCAACATTTTCAGTTTCACCAAAATTCACCACAATTTGGAAGAGTCTACTGGGAAAAGTACATGTACTGTAAGTATACAGACCAGCCACTATCTTCCCAATGATGAATTCTCTACGGATTTATTTCAGGCGTTCGTACTTGAACATATTAATCACCAGTGGTTTCCTACAATGGTTGAATTTGTAACATTTATGTACAGTAGTTCAAAAAGGAAAGTTCTGTAACCAACCTGTATGCTTGGTTTGCTCATAAAAGACCTTGTTTTGAATCCTTTAAAAACATACATTCTGTTTGAAATTAATTTCAGATTCCTCACGCTTTCATATCAGCAAACTTTTTACCTTCAAGGGGCACGAAACCCTACATGTATATGGATCCAATCTGAACAGGAACAAGAGAAAGCGTGTATTAGCATGGAAATGATGGCCCTTTAGTGGGAAGTTGGGAGCCCGTGTGACTGCTCAGGTTTATGTGCATTTGGTGAGAAGGGGCCGTGTTCAGTACGTGCAACCAATTTTGGTTGGAATGAGTGGTCTTCGAGTGCGTGCCGGGCGCGTGCAAAGAAAACTGCACACCAGCCTGTTTCTCTTATCCTTTGCCAGTGAGGGCGCTCTTCAACTCCGGGAAGGTTACAGCTGGGACTTGCCTTCCTCAAGAAAAGATAACAAAATTCCCTCAAAGATCTCCAGGTGGTTACTAAACAATCTAGGAGGCTACTACGTGTGGGTCTAAAGCAAAACAAAGAGCTTACATGCAATGTCTAAATCTGTCTTTGCCCATACATGCAAACCATGCACATACAATTTCCCTACAATTTTTCCCCCCCTTATTTTTTACTTAGAAGAGACAGACAACCATGGTTAGCACCTTAACTGTCACTCAGGCCTACACATTTCTCCACGTCATGCCATAATTGCCCGTTTTGTGTTCACATCACTGTCCGATCACTGCCCTTTTTCAGAAAAGTGGAGCAATGCCTGCGCGTGTAATGGTCCAGAGCCTGCCATGGGGGAATTGGACTTGCCCTACTTTAGGACAAGTCGAACGGTGTTACTGGCCGACTAACGGCACGGTAATGAGGCTGCCCATACACAGGATCACGCAATCAATTGGCCACTGTGCTGTTGCTCTGGACAGCATGAGCGACGGGGGTTACCTTATTTCGCATAATAACGAGAACCTGATGGGCCCCAGCCGTTTCTGGCACACAGGAAAAAAACAACAAAAACAGCACTTGACAGCAAGTTGGTGGGTTTGACCATTAAATGTTTTATGCATGTCCATCGTTTTTCCTCTCTGACTCTAGTCACGACTGCAATTCTCAATAGGCCCGAAGCTTCTCCTTGCCGATTCAAATCACAGGGGAACAGCTGGTCAGTTAGCAGATGGTCCGTTTCCAGCATCACTGACCAAGTCCCAGTGAACTAAAAACAAAGCATTCTTTTACAAATTAAAAAACTACAAATGTAAATGATGGAAGGCCAGCGCATTTGTAATTTTTTTTTCAGACTCTTGCTGTAAAATGCCCGGTTCTATAACACGCCAAAACCAACAAGCCTCAGTTCAGAAGTTCAATGCAATATAAGTAATAACCATATCAAGACACACTGGACAGCTTGGGTTACACTGCCCTACATAAAAAAACTATAGATAGTAATATAACATTTGGTGTTTTTGTTTTGTCTGGTTTGACAAAGAAAGCAACTTCCTACTCCCCTATTTAAAAATGACCAAACACTGAAAATATATACAATTATCTGACATCATAAACCAGGTTGCTTTCGTTATCTACATCAATTTCTTTCCTTTCAATTGTGCGGAGCAAAGGAAGGTGGGTTAAACATGAAAAAGTAACCCTTTTAAATATTGTACTGCACGACTTTCAAGGCAATGATCAATCCGAATGTGTGCACAGCACAACACTGGAGAAAAAGGCTGTACATGTCCATTGTATGTTGACATAAAAAGGTTATGTCGGAGATCTTGTGATGTCTGATTACACTTCATTCATATATAACTTACATGTATGCACATGCACTGTGGATCAGAAAAAAAGGAAGTGAAAACCATCTTAGGAATTGGGTTTTGCAATAGCTTGAGTCTTGGGCTATTAAATTTCCTCTCCACCGCATCCCCATGATTAACCCGTTCATGTGTCGCCGTCTCGTCCTGTCGCTTCGTCGCACACTGTCCCATCCGTGTGTGCTCATCACATACCAAACGCATTATGCATGTGACCCATTATGTACGTCCTGTGTGCCACTAGCACATCGCCCATCAAGCTACCCCCCCCTGCTGTCTGTCTTGTCTGTGTGCACATGTTCATGTGCGGGATTGTTTTGGCTGTTCCAATTCTCAAGCTCACTCCCCCAGAGTCTGGATTGCATGTTATGTCTGCTTGGAAATGGAATGCAAATGCGCAGTGGGGTGAAAACACCCATGCTTAACAAATTAGACTTGTCTGTTTACATTTTCTGAAACAAACACAGTTTTTGAGAGTTTTGAAAATAAACTATGATTGTGTTTGTGTATAATGAGTTGCATATTACCAAATCAAGTCTGTACTGCATCTGTTTTTTTTTGTGTGTGATTTTGCTGAAACTTTTGAACGGTGTCTTCAAGTTTTATGAAAAACTTCTGCAATCTGATCGCTGATGGGGCTGTTGGTTAAACCAAATTTGTGTGATGTAATACCAAAGAAAACACTGAAACTGGTATCCATGGCACGACGGTTTCCACTACAAACGTACATGTACGTGAACATGGAGCTACATGTACATGTAAGTGCACCACGTAAGTACTGGGCACCAGGTCCACTGTGCAGCATAATCTCTTTTCTGTCGAGAGTTTATTCTCTTCTCTTCATGATTTTACAATAATGCCAAAAATGTGCGTCACTGGTGGATGAATGAATTCTGAGAAAGAACCCGAATTTAAATTCTTCGA